ACCTGGGAGCCCTGGGGAAATGCTGGCAGGCAGCGCCTGCATCTCCCCCCTTGGAAACACTCCAACTGGCAAACTGAAGCTACTGCCCAGTGACCACGGCATGGAAACAGGCGAGACGGCTTTGAACCAGCCCAGCAAGGCACAGAGAACAGCACGCCCACAGCAGTATAAAGCTTACCTGCCGTGCTCCCTGTGGCTCTGGGGCAGGTTTCCCAGCCTGCGCTGGGCTCTGTACAGCTGCTAGGCTGGAGCTGCTTTGATGCACGCACCCTTCAGCGGAGCAGGCACGATCACTGCCAGCAGTGAAAGGTAGGCACGGTGACTCTTATAATTAGGAAATTAAGGCAGAGTGACTCACCCAGGATCAAAGTCTGCAATTAAGCCAGAAATAGGCTGTGGGTTCCCCGATTCCCACAGATACAGACAGCACTGCGAGGCAAAGGCCTTCTCTGGTTCATCCAAGCATCATTAAAAAACACACCAGCTCTTAGGGAAGTCTGTATATACAAAGCTCATTTCAAAAATTTTATGCCAAATTTAAGAAACGTTATTAAAATGGAGAATAGAAGAGTTTCATCGTTTGAGCAAGACTTTTTGGACATAAGTGACCTTTGGCTGCGCAGTAATTTAATTTCCTAAGAACATGAGCAAAGTCTCAATTAGGTCAGAGAGGACCCGCTGCGTGGGTACAAGAGGGAAGAGAAATGTGCGGCTGCATCAGTGAAGAGTACTTCTTGTCTCAGGGGGACTGGAGATACGGGGCAAGGAAGCATTCAGGCCTCTTGGCAAAAGCAAGCGAGGCTGCTTGCTCAGTATGTAAAGCAGGATGGCATGCACCACAGGCAGAGGTAAAACACAGAAGCAAACCACTCAGATGGTGGCTTTCAGGTCTCAGGCAGCTTTTTGCTGCTTTCTTTACAAATGAGAGCCAGGTACTGTGGCTGCCACAGGAGAAAGAGGCTAATTTAGAAGCAGCCCAGGGAAAAGCAGAGGAATGATGGAAAAAAAGAAGATCAGAATAGCGATGCATTCCGAACACTGCTTAATGGACTGAAGCCTGAACATTATTTGGTGCAATCTTGATGGGTCTGATTTAACTACTACATTTTTGCACAATATTTTTCATACCGGTTATGAAGAATTGCTTGACAGCCCTTGGTGACGGCTCAAAAGTTTCTCACTCACTTAAGCAGAAGGTCTATCAGAGTAATGCACATTAATCAGAGAAAAGGCTGATAAGGAGGATATGATACGCTATAAGGAGCAGTGGACGGCAACAGATACAACACGAGGGGTGAGACATCACTGTTAGTCTGTTGCCCATAAAAAAGCTGCACAGGAGGTCAGCGGGCAGGACAACCCAACACAGAAACACTGCAGTTAAGAAAGTTCAGGAAGGGTGTTTCTGGACGCACAGGTTCCCACAGTACATTTTTATCCAGCAGAAAGATAGATTACGCAACTTCTAACAGCCAGTCTTCATCTGAGACGTGACATCTGTGTATACCAAATCCTCCTAAATCCCCAGCCAGAAAGGAGCTGGTGACCCTACATCACTTACTCATGCCCACCGTTCAACTACAACAGCCCACTTTTTACTTTTAAAGTGCAATTTCAGATGCTCGGGTTTATTTTTATTTTGATTCAGGAGTGCCTATCTGAAGCAAGCTTATACCAGTGACAACTGAATCACAGTTACGGGGGCAGTTTCTTCATACGGAAACAGATTGGTAGACGTTACCCTTCCAAAACACTATCTTTGTGAATACAACATCTCAGGACATCAATTAGGCAATGTTCCACTTGAGCTACTTGGAGGACTGTATTTAGGATGAGCTCCTCTCTGTTGCCTCCCAACAAGCCCATTAAGTATCTGATCTGCAAACCATTGTACATAGAAGGGAGTTACATGCTCAAGGTTTGTTGTGGTTTTTTTTTATTTTTTTATGCAAGGTTTTCAAGAGTACTCTGAATTTAAAAGCAGCATTTTGTTCTCCAGAGCAGCCTCCTGCCAAAAGGCCACTCTCACAAAAGCTGCGTCAGGTCTGCCTGCAGCATTAGTACACATGCTATGTATATGAATTAAGTGTCACTGGAACAGTCATTGAGGTGACTGCAGCCCGGGCTTGCCTCCTCTACATATCTACTCATCTAAACACGGGGGCTGTATTTCAATGAGCAAGCCCATATAGACACAGCAACATTGAGACAAGGTTCCACAGCAAGTATCTGCAGGTGTCTTCATTAAAGCAACAAAAAGAAACCTGCTAATGCATCCACGAAAAACATCAAGCACCCGACATACAACGCTGCTTTTGGGGTTTCAGATGGGAGGTAGAGAAATTCAAACACTCAGGTGGAAGAGTTACGAGCACAGCAGTCCCTTCTCCTCCAGCATCCTCCAGTGCTTCAGTTACCCTGCAGATCTTCACATTCTCGTGCCGATCTGCAATACCCATAAACGGGCAAATACCAAGTGCTGTCAAACCCTCAATAATGCAACTTCATGAGAAAGTAGGAGGTATTCATTTTGCACCCGGCTGGGGTGCCTGAGCAGAAAGCTTACCCCATCTGGTAGTGCCCTCCAGCATACAGCACTCACAAACTCATTTGTGTCATCTTCTTTCCGGTCCTTGTCCAGGACGCTTTTAACTGTATCAAACTTGAATGTCAGCAGTGTCTTTGAGAGGCCCTTATAGTATAGGTAAAGGGAATTATTTTCGCTTCCTAGAAATAAAAAAAAATAAATATACAAGATTAGGTTCTGGTAGTAGGAAAAGAAATAAGGCTTCTTAGCTCTTTCATTGTGTAAAACAAGACCAGACATTTCCTCCTGGTAGTTATCATGCTTGTGGTGCCAGGGCAACTGGGAGTGCTCCACAGCAAACTTTCACAATACCTAATAAAGGAAACAGGTTGTGGTGGTTTTTGTTTGGGTTTTTTTTGGGGGGGTTTTTTTTTGGTTGTTTTGTTTTTTTTTTTTTAAACAAGACAACTCCAGTATGCAGTGCCCTTGCAAAACATACAGGATCCCAACCGTCCCCCATAACTTCCTTAGGGCAGAACAGAGCATCTACACTACCACGTGAAACAGCGCTATACCCAGCCTGCTCGGCGTTACAGCTCTGAGGCAGGTAGCACTGTCACAGTTTTGCTTGCTGTAATCAAGCACGACAGTTTGGTCTGTGGAGGCTTAAGTAAGAGAGACTAGACAGTGTGCAGGCTTTATTTAGAAATCCATCCCAATTTCTGCCTTGCAAGCTGTACAGAGATCAGAGTATACACAAACTAAGATCCTCCCTTCAGTGCTGGCACAGCTGTCCTGCTCATCCCACAGCAATCAGCCTGCCATTGCTTTCCCACCAAGACCTATGGATTTACAGACATTCAACAGTCCAACTTAAGTGGTGAAAAAACAGAAACTGCCAAACGGGTAACTGCTTCAGCATGATTTAGTCTTCTAGGGTGCTGTCCACAATGAGGGCGTTACTGCTTCGTCAGACAGAATGCCATACCAAGTGACAAGTACAGGACCACTCATGTGGTCCAGGCTACTGCCCTTCCTTAGAAAGATGCATGAGGATGTGTCAGTTGATAAACCTGAAAGACGTAAGTGATATCAACAGTGGCTACATTAGCAGTTGACTTTTGGTGACAGCAAGTCTGAATCATCATATACAAAGAACTCATCTGAAATTAGAGAAAACCAAGTCAGGGCTCCTTACACCATTCCCTGGGAAGGAAAGGAGCATGGAAGTTCAGAATAATCCTCTATTAAAAAGCCCATGCAGCTACGTAGCACAACTGCTGGTGTGCTTTGGAACTGGAGAGGCACCAACTCTGAGAAGTCGCATTAGCATTTGTCAGGATTGCTGCTCTACTCACCACAGGCGATGTAGTCTCCATTGGATGCAAGCCCAACGAAATTCTTCTCGTTGATGTGACCCTTGAAGGAGCGCAAGCAGTGAGGCTTCCCTACATTCCACAGCTTCAGCTGACTGTCTGTTGACCTGAGAACAATACCTAAAGTTACCCTGCTGCCATATGGTCGGTAGTCCTTGCTTGAAACCCTGCTCCGTAACACCCTACTTGCAACGTAGATGTAGTAAGTCTTAGTGTGCTCCAGGAGATTTATCCCACTTTCAATCATATGCAACTTAGCTTGAGCTTGTAAAGGTATCCCGTTATTTTAGAAGCCTGTCAAAACATGTTAAATGTTTGAATAAAAAACTTCCCCCACATATTAATCTTCCTTTCTCCTATCAATTACAGAGTCCTCCGCTGAACTGTACAGCCTTTGGGCCATCACTGCCTCCTCCAGATCCAGGACACACTGAATAGTTTTTTTGTGGTTTATGGTTTGTTTTTTTTTTTTCTTTTTTGTCACTTCTACAGCATGGACAAAATCTGTTCCCTTCATGCTGGCTACAACTCTCATTGATGCCTTTATAGGACTCTGGTAGGAAGCAGTCTCCTCCCTCTCCAGCTGCCCTGAAAGCATGTTCTCCTGCTCCTGCCCAATACCAAGCAGCAAAGCAGCAGCATATAAAGACCTATAGGGGCTCAGAGTTGCTATTAGCATTAAATTGATGTGGTTTTCTCCTGTGTAATTGAGGCTGCATGGATACAGATCTCAAACTTCCACTTTTTTCACCTTGGCAGCAAAGCCAAATATTACTATTAAAAACATACAAACTCTGTTGGGATTAAATCAGAATTGATGTTTTCCATTGTTCCCTCAGATACAAACATACTTGCCTTCAAAATCTTTTTCTATTTACTGTGAGCAAACATTTTCCCTTTGGCAAAAGAAAGGAGGTGGAGGTAGTCTCCTACGCCTGGCAGAGCTCAAGTGAAATAGGAAGATCAAGTTTCCAGGAGATGTAGGATCAATTTCTCCCCCCAAACCTGAGAAGGACACAAGCCCCTCTCACTTCCCAGGTGTTATTCTCTAGCAATTGCCAGGCTCTGATATTCTGGCACTCAATGACTTACAGCAATACACTCCACAGTAGTTGAAGAAACACTGATGTGGTGGGACTGGAGCCCCTTGAAGCCACCCTTGAGGAAATGGGTAGTGCTAGGTTCGATCTTAAATTTGAAAGAGATTGGGAGCAGGACCTGTCAGCCTCCTGGGTGAGAGGAAAGGGAGGTAGGTAATGCTCTCCTCTTAAAAATCATATCACCCAACCTTGCCGCTTTCCGAATATTAAGAGCTGAAGGGAAAAAAAAAAAGCCCAACCAATATCCATCAAATACTACCAACAATATAACAAATTAGCCCTGCACCAATGTCACATTTACCTAAAAATATAGCACAAGAGTAGAGATGTGCCTCGTGCTATACTGCAAAAACCTTATCTCAGCCCTCAATGACAGGTGGAATGACAAAGGAGCGATAAGGGAGCTTGCAGCAAGATTTGTTAGTCATTTGTAATAATAGCACGAGGTCAGATCAGAACGAAGGTATGAACTTGATCTGTAATACTGTGACTTAGGCAGGAGTGCTTTCCTCATCCCAGGTCTTGACCAAGGGAGGCCCTAAAACACAGTATTCAGCTTCTCCGCCTGATGCTTTTTCCATGTCCAGCTCTGCCCTACGCTGCTGCTCACTCTCCCTTCCCTTGTCCTTAACATCACAGTAGCAGCATAGCTCATAGAAATGGCAAAATGGTATATACTACTGCTTTTTTGGACCACAAGTACAGGGAGGTGCCTATACTTAATGGCGGTGCTATTAAGGCACATCCCTAGAGGTGTTCAAGGCCAGGCTGGACAGGGCTTTGAGCAACCTGGTCTAGGAGGAAGTGTCCCTGCCCATGGCAGGGGGGTTGGAACTAGATAATCTTTAAGGTCCCTTCCAACCTAAACCATTCTATGATTTTTAAAACGCTGTTTTTAAAAGCTTCAGAGTTGCCTGGAAACTAAACTTTTCTGATGGCAGGGTAAAGCAGCAGAAGACTAATCCCTGGTCTACAAGCTGTCAGATTCCTGTGACAGCTTCTGCTATTAGCTAACCCATCAAGAAGACCTCATATGTACAGGCACTTAACCTCTGTCTTTTAGTAGCATACATTCTAGATCTCTTCATTAAAATAAAAACACTTAAAGTCTATTACTAATGGAATGCTTTTATTGTTAACAAATTCCCATCAAGCTCTACCCATGTTTGCATTACTTCAGATAAGCAGGCCGTAAGAGAAGAAAGTTATCCGCCACTGGACCACAAGGAGAGGAAAAGGACTTTGATCCTGCTGGTGTTACACTGCTCTTCCTGTTTCATACCCTCTCCAAAAAAAATATCATGGATGCGCTGCTCTGTTAAATCTGTCTCTCCGTACATCAGTACTGCAATCAATGTGTTGTGCTAAATACCAGGCAGTTCTGAACACCCTTGAGGTCAAAACCTAACTCTACAAGGCAAAGTAAATCAATGCAATCTATAAAACAGCTTTAGCTAGAAATCTAGAGGATCTGAATATACATATAATTTTTGCTTAAAAGAAATCAGTGCTTGATTTTTGGGAATCACTACTGCTGTCTCCTCTCCTCAATTTGCAAAAGACAGACATGAAAAATAATCTGCTCGCTCTGACATTTCTTTCTGTTCACGCAGAAAGATAGGTGAACCCTCCAGTTAGTCCCCTCACCCTGTTGTTGCCTGTCCAAGTCCGACAGCTCTATCGATATTCCTCCCAGGACTGTGGGATAAGCTTTCGCAGATGGTCAGCTCAAGCAGGATAGGGCCATTCTGTCCTGAAACATCCCATAGATGATACTCCACTTGATCATGGCTGTAAAAGATTCCCAGCCTCCTCCCACTTCTATTAAACACTTTCTTCTTACCCAGATTTGGTTCAAAGCATTAAATTCAATTTTCTCTGTGTTCTAGGTATGAATTTGCACCCTTACAGAGTTATAACCTTAATGGAAATAAGAGAGGAGCTGATTAAATATAAACAGTACCAGAAGCCATCAGGGAATCTTCCATCACACAGCTCAGCTCACAGTAACTCACTAGCAGCCTGAATACACCTTAAAATGCTCTGCTTTGACTCCAGGCTTCTAGAGTAAACTGTGTGAAAACACGGGACAGAGCCAAGCTGGATAATCAGCGGCTCGGTACCAGGTAGCAGGCGTACTTTCCGGGACTAGATCTACCCCTGTGATCCATCCCTGCTGCACTTGGGCATTACACGCAAGTGTGTTGAGATCAAAGATTCCCCTCCAACCCCCAAAGTTGCTTGCATTTTCCCCACCATGTAAGAGGGGGTCACCTCTGGTTTATTGAAGAGGCTTGTAACCAGTCATTCAAACCTTTCGCTATGTGATCCGACATGCTCACTCCCATGTGATTGAACATCAGGAGCATCCTCAGCTCACCTAGCATTTTCTAAAAGAAGAGTTCACCTGCAGCTTCCCAAAGCTTGTGGTCAGGAGCTGCATCTAGTTGTCTTCGTATTCCTCTTAAACATTTTAGCTCCGCAAGACAGAGCAGAGCCGAATGGCACCAGGAATTAATTTCTATTTTTGTCTTAGAAGAAAAAGCAACAATCTGCTTGCCAAAAGCACAGCAGCTAGTGTGCGCACCCACCCACGCAGGTGAACTTGCACGATGGCCCTGAATAGCACTGGAAAGCAAGGGCTACAAAGTTTTTAGCCTACATAAAAGGCAATACTTACGCAGAGACGATTTCTTCCCCACTCACAAATTTTGCGTAGGAGACTGCCTTGCGATGCCCTTTGAACACCATAATTGGCTGCTTAGTGTTGCGAAGATCATAGTAGTGAACACAGTGATCTGGAGATGACAAAGAAAAGGGGCAGATTTTAATCACGAGACCACTAATAGCCAGCTCACAATAAAAGTCCTGCCTGCAGCTTCCGCATCTGACTTAAAGCCTTGTCTAGGATAAATAGTCTCCACTGCAGGAAAGGAATGTTTAAGCAGGCTTCTTAAAATGGCCCCAAAATTCAGTCCATAAGGGTCCAAGCAGCCTTCCAGACAGTCAGCGAAGGAAGAAGGTGCATCCACATGTATGTGCACGTACACATGTCCCCCCACATATGCCATTTGGCCCATGTGCAACCCTTAGACTCTTGCCTCTCCTGCCCACCAGCTTGGCTCCCCACCTGGCCACTCCAATTGCCATTTCTAATTCCCTGCACCCTCCTCTTCCTTCCTCAAGCTGTCCCCTCTTGGAAAATTGTTGGAGAACCCAAGGCTGAAAAATCAAGTCTGTCTGCTACTTAAATGAGATCATGGAAAATGGGGATTAAATTTCCTCACGCTTACCCTAAATGGGTAACCTCCATACTTTCAGTTTTTTTGATTCTCTCCTTTGATTTTATTACCAATCAAGAGAATTAGCATCTCTGCTAATGAGGGAACAGGCTAAATTCCAGTTCTTCTTAAGATTTAATTCACAGATGTGCCGCAGTGCCACAACCAAATAAAGGGATCGCAACAGTATTAATAATACGTTTTATTTTCTGCACAACTAAATTTCAATTCCCAAGAAAACAGAAAAGTAAGAATAGAAAACCCCACGAGACCCAAGCCTCAAACACCCTCAGCGCTCTTTCCAGCTCAACAAGGTTAATAAGCTTCTCCCTTCCCAACTTTCAGCCTTTAATGTTGAACTTCATTTAATTATCCCCTGCTATTCTGAAAGTGCAGGGAGAGAAGGCCACACGCATGCAATGAAACCGAGTCGGATGCCTTTCTCACCAAGCAACTTGCAATACCCAGACATCAGCTGAAAACTGCTCTGACCCTCCTCCCACTGAAATAACACCCCACCAATGGAAGTTTATCACTAAGATTACATAGAAATGAATTTAAATGCCAATAGCTACGGTTATTTCTGTATTTGCATAGCATTTCCAAGCAGGGCTCTCAGTCGTACAAACAACACCCAGCTGTCTCAAAATCCCATGTGGTTTGAGAGATAACTGGATTTACATCGATCAGGCTACAGCGACGGCCGTCAGACTGGCAAGGGTAGCTTCTCCCCTGTATTAACAGGCTAATTGGTGGCCATGGCAGGACGGGGTGGGGGTGTATCAGAAACACCTTCAATAAAACGAGGTAAGCAGGCAATGCGCCTTCCTCGCCACCTGCTTCCAGCATCTTGCTGTCTGCATCAGACAGGATCAGAGACTTCTCTGGTAAGAGGCTTCTGGCTCTCTCCCTCCTTGCCCTGTAAAAGCAGATGCTCCAAGCAGCCACAGCAAGTTTTCTCCACCACTGTCGAATTACCCCATTGTGTTGAAACCCAGCAGCTATTGAGCAGCTATTGTTATTTTAATGAGCAGAACGATGCTAGCAAGGCTATTAGGAGCGGATAAGCCTTTCAAGACTATTTTTGCTCACAGTTCCAACTTCCTCTCCAGTTGGCCCGTCATTAGGATACCTTTTGAGCACCAGATTTTATCCTTCAGAGGGTGGCAGGGAAAAGGGTACCTGCGGATGGCTGCATGTGAGCAGCTGGAGCAATGCAGAGAGGAAAGAGCTAGAGCAGGAAAGACAAGTTCATTTGCAGAGCAGAGAAACGAAGTTGCATTCACCTTCTAAATAACGCAATAAACAGCTCGAAGCCTGCCGGCATCTGGCCCCAGCACCGTGTGTGCCTCTCAGCATCGGCATGGCAATCAATCACTGTCTGCTCTGATCACAATGAGTCCGAGGGAATGGGCAAGGCCAGTGGGTTCTAAAATTAGCCACTTAATTATTAATTGATTATTTCGGCAGCCGAAGCGTTGGTGCCCAATTGAGGTTTTTTTTTTAATTCAATTGAAGCAGCTATTTTTAAGCAGATATATGAAGATGAATGCTCACTGCACTCATTAAAATCAGAACAGGTGGTCATGTTTTACAATTAAAGAGATACTCTCTCTTGTAGGCCATATGGACTTTCCAAAAACATGATAAAAATGCCATCTGCTGAGGAAGCAGAGCGCCCAAAAATGAAACTAAATGGGAAAAATACAACTCCCAGGTACCCCAGCCAGCAGCCTCGCCTGGTGGAGTTTGATGAGCTGAAAGTGTCCTAATCAGCAGTAACCCTGGCACACCAGTGCGTCCAAGGCAAGGTGCTCTGGAAAGCTCAGACGATGAATTAGTCCTAAGAGCCAGATGAAGGTAAGGAAAACAGAACAGGCATTGAGGGGAATCAAACACTTCCCAAACTCTGCAAGACCCCATAAGCTCATCCAGCATCCCACCACTGGCTCCTGCCCTTGACATCCCTGGAAAGCCATGGAGCATTGCTAACCAGTGATGCACAGGGGTATTTGCTTCTTGTTCTGCTCCTCAAACATGAGCATTACAATCATCATTCAGCAAATTTTTTGCAGCTCTACAGTTTCCAGAAAACTCATTTAGAACAATTTCAACTTGGAAATAACATTGCCACAGTTAAAAGCCTCATGCCTAACCCTTGGGCAGCAAAAGCTCACTGCCTTTTTTTTTTTTTCTTCTGAGTTCAGGCTTAATTGAAATATATATGAGATAATAGGAAAGAACATGTATATATACCATAACAAATTAAACACTCTGAAACAATTCTTGTCCAGTTCAGTGTCACTGCAGAAGCTGAGCATGACACAATTCTGCTACCGTGCCTTCTGAATTCAAATGTTTGCTGGCAGGCAGTATTTTATTATATATATTATTTTTTAAGTGATCCCAGAAGGCAAAAAGAGCAGCTAAGCTCTGCCACTGCTGCTGAGAGGTCTCCAACCACAAGCCTGAGTTTTTAAATAGCGCTTTTCCAGAACACTCAAGAACTGCTTACTTCCCTTAAGACGCCACTGCTTTCACCTTTGAGCTGTCTAGTGATAACTAATCAAGAATTCAGACTTTTCCAAACTTCCAAAAGATCTCACCACCTCTTCAGTAAATATAACCCGCGTCAGCAAAGGATGGCATCCCTCGCTGCTCAGCAGCTCATAAATTCACAAGACTCCAGCTGGCAGGCACAGGGTGGAAGGGATGGATTGTTCTGTGATGTACAAGGTGAGGAGATGAGCACCTTCTCAATCTCTGTCCTCAGATTCAGCCGGGTTGCAGGGGTGGGGATGCAGCAAACAAACTGATGATGTAGTTACATGATTTCAGGAAATCAGGTTAAAAACCTTCTCCAAAAAAAAAAAAAAAAAAAGAGCTGGGAATTGCTAATGAAGCCAGCAGCATCTTAAATAATTTCAGAACTGTTCAGAAAGGTGTAATTGCTCTTGGATTTTTCATTGTCCAAACAAAAAAAGGCAAAGTCCATGTTTTTTCCAAAAATTATTTTCCTTACACTTAGATTGCTCAATAAAATTCACAAAACAGCTGTTACTAGCAGGACTTAGGTTCACATTACCTATCACAAAGCTCTTAATGTGTATAGAGGAACGGCAACTCCAGAAAAAGCAAGCAAGGGTTAGGAAAGAGCATCACATGGCAGCAGTTTATGTTTCACTGAGTACCAATACATCCAGGGTAGCAATGCACACAACCCAAAAAGCAGAGTCATTTAACTCTCCAGGTAGCCAGCAATTCCAAGTAACATTCATATTCCGGGGCACGTTCACCCACCTTCACCACGAACGTTAACCAGTCTACAACATGAGCTAACTTGGAGATCCCCTAAGGCTTTTTTCCTGACCACTGACTCAAAGGGATATCAAGGCAAGGAGAGCAATAGAAAACTTTACCTGCAATGCAACAGTTTTATATTCCATGGATGTAATGACTAGAAAGCCCCAAGAGCTGCATACAAAGGTTCTGTGGTTCTCCTCTGGAAAACTGAATTACTGGAGAATCAATGACCATTTTTCTTATTTCAATCATTTAGAAATGCATATTTCTTAACTGTTCAATATTTAGATTATTGATCCATTCAAAAAGTAAGTAATTTACATTACTTGGATTTTTCAGCGCTTATAGACTTGAGAATATAAGCGGTGCTCGCTGCTACAGGTCAGATGAATGTTACAGCCAAGGAGATGCCCATATTCAAAACTAAAGTTGTAGGGTAGGGAGCCAGATATTAAGTAGTCTGTCACATGTCTACTGTTATCAAAGCACATCGACTTTTTTTTTTAATAAGAGATCTTCAATACCAAACTTAAGGGTGAAACCAATTTCGTATATTAATGCTCCAGCTACAGCCTGCAGTTCTGCATGCCTCATGTTACAGATGTTTTACTGAAAGAGAAGCCCAGGCTAGAGTGTAACCTTTAAATGAGTTTCTCTTGTGCTTCTTTGACCATGATCTGATTTGTTGCATCTAGTAACTCATGTCCTCAGCTGGCAATTCCCTCAGCTTTGTCTATTTGTTTTCCTCCATATGAACTTTAAGCTTGGATCAAGGCTGCCAGTTTTCACCAGTGAAACTCTGCATCAGTAGTAAGAATAAGACACAATTTATAGTCCGAGAGGTGTATTTAAACGACTTGTTCAACAAGGTTTAAACTGAGTCAGAGCAAATTTGGTGCAAGATACCTCTGCTCACCTCCAATTAGGTTATACTGAAGAAACCAGAAAAGCAACAAAATAAAAGGGCACAATCCCCCCCGCCAAAAAAATATCTTTAGTCAGAAAGAAAGATGACAGGCATGATTTTGTGGAGTTTGATTCCATTTCTACTGTCACTGGTTAAAAAAAAAATATTCTGGAGATCCTGAAGGAAGCCCACATTGCTCAATACATATTGAAGGGGCTAGCTGAAATCCAATTATTTATATTTAAACACCTACCTATTGAAAATAATCTTTCATTTCACTTATTTCTCCTCTGTATAGCAAGTGTAA